ATCAATGAATTAAAATCCAATATTATTTTCGTTTAAACCATGCCATGTACTTGATCTACGCTTGATGAGATTTGATTACATGTATCTGCTTGCTACACCCTGCCTCATCCATCCTCGTTATAACCATAGGGTACGCACACCATTAATCCATTCACGGAACGGGCCACGGCACTGCATGCTATCTGGATGTCACGAGTTATTCACACAAGCCTGATGTTAGGACTGACGGCAGACAACATGTGTACTAGTTAGCCTACTTTGTTGTTCTGAGGAGAAACCCACGGTTGTTCTTGTCAATCTCTCCTACAGTACACAATACTTTGATTGGTCCCACAGGTCCTATATGAATCCTTTTTTCTGTAAGCGACGGAAACGGGGTTTGGTTGGTCAAAATGGCGTTTAGGGAGGATACATTTTGGGAAAGGTAGCTAGCTGGAAAGGTGATTCTTTAGCGACTCGCTATATATTGGAGGAGATGCGAGTTCGCACAGTTTCTCACAGCGGGTATATAATACTGATAACGACCTCACAGACAGGCTAGTTACTGACGCCCCGTACATGTGACGGCATGTTTGAAATGGCTCATGTGTCTCTGAAGTTCTTAGGCACGATTGTAGACTCCTAGACTAATGCTTAGTCTCTGAATATATATAATTTTGATAGTAACAAACAAGCCCATTTAAATTGAAGAGGAGCCCCAGGGAGACCAGAGATTCAGATCCTGAACCTGAGGAAATCTAGACTTACTTCATTTAGGGCTTTAGCACTGCAGAGAGGGCTTGGTAGTGGGAAAATAATGTGGTTCAGGGACTGTGAGACAGACTATTGGACTCCGAACGAGGGTCTGTGATGATGCACTTCAATCCCGGATGCTTACCACAAATCAATGATGTCGCTTCAAATAGCGAACTCAAGTTTAGCAAGTTTGTTGCTAGTTTTGAAAACCCTGAAGATTACAGTTAACAGTGGTGTTTTACACTCAGATGTCAAATACCAGCTGATACTGGTACACACTCGCTTCCAATGCCTACAGCCATAGCGGTCAAGTATGTCGGTGTTATACACACTGAATCAATTTACTCAGCTTTAGCTGCGAACACTGGGCCGAAATATATTTTCTACCAAATATCTACTGTAACATAAAATTTCTTCCTCTTCAATTATTAGATCCATATTATTTCAGGAATTTTGGAGGACAATTTAATTTTTCAGTTAAAAATCGCTGGATGTCGTCGTAGTGGCGGTGCCAAATCAATACCCGTGCCTCCATAACAGATCTTTACGATGTAATATTTCCTTGGCAAGAAATGTGATAGAACCTTCAGTGGCCATGTGAGTATGATGGACTTGTTAACTTTGATGATCTCAATGTTATACAGGGTCAACTGTTGTTAACTCGGACCGATAGACTGCTTTGTCCACTGTTGAGCTCGAGGTATGCCTACTGCTGTGTAGGTCCGGCTATCTGTGTGTCACATGTACACTGTAAGCACTGAGACCACGCACTTTATTTATTAAAATCCATTGAAGTAATTTATTTATTTCTATGCAAAGTATTTATATAACTAATAATTACCGAAGCCTAGCTAATCTTTTAATTTGGATGATAAATAAAAAAAATAACGATGTTCTTGTCACCTGCCATTATACCCGAGAAACCCCACGCTATGGTGTTTGTGGGGAAATTCCCGTTTTACGCTCAGGTCATGCGTTCCAGATGAGTAAACATATTTACACACGGCGCGTACGCTGTCTCAGAGCGATGCTATGTCACCGCGATGTGTATCCTGTTGCTCGCAGCCTCTCTCCCCCAGCGAGCCTGACTAGCAGTAGAATATGTTTGCTGTGAGATTGAAAGCTGAGCAGGGTGCACGGGTGTTTGAGAGAATCGCTTGTGTCACTGCCGAATTGATGTTACAATACCGCTACCTATGTGCGTTGCGTGTACGTACACTGTACTTGTTATTATCTTAACCATTGCACCCGGATAGGGAAAATATTCGGGTTTTACCATGTTTCCTTATCTTTCAAACATAAGGCATGCATTCACAAGTTCTGTTTTCAGAATACATTATGACTGATGAACCACACTGTCACACTCACGTAAAACATAATTGTGTATGCTGACACCAGTATAACGGGCATATTGCTTTAGCACAACAATATTGTAAGAATTCAGATGCCATACAACCCAACCAGCTCATACCACAGAAAGTCCACATTTCTTCAATCAACCTGAAATGATGATCTGTATTATTCCCGACATTTTAAAAGACCATTAATATTCATTACTAGCATCTACTACATAGATATAACCTTCCTCAGGAACATATTGATGTTGCCACGTCTGAACTGCCTGCAGCTACATATTCCTATCTAATGATTCATCTATCTGAGAAAAGAAGTGTCGACTGGCGGATTAGTGCAACAGATTAGTGGAGATTAGGATTTTACCTTGTAATGCTTCCGATACTGCAAAGACATGCTAGATTAGCGAACTAATGATAATTTCTTAAGCCATATGCCATGAACTGTCTGTTGACGTTGATTCCAGTGTTGATTAATTTACAAACAATCCCCACACAAAATAAAACATCTATATACTGTGACAGAATCTCCTGACAGGGGCGCTGAACTTGTTATGATCGTGGATGCACGTGTTTCCGAGAGGGATAATATGAAATCTGCCATGGAACCGAGAGTTACAAAATGACAGAATATTTCTGTCTAAAGACTTAAACATTCGTAAAATCTAAATATCGACAAAACACCTTGCTATGGACCTTTACTCAATCTTATGAAATACAATGTAATAAAGTTTCAATACATTTTTAATACATTTTAGCAATATCCTACCCTGGCAGGTAACGATATATTATACCTATTGAAATCTTTGGATTTGGTACAATTTTGTCGTCAACATTTTCAAATATAACCTCAGGGTTTCTTTGATGGGCATTTTAGAAGTTGAGTTGATGAAGAATAATGACAATTATTATGGATATACAACTTCTTTTATTCTGTGGAGGCGACGTTTCGACATAGGTTCTAATGTCGTTGTCAAGCAAGTGATACATGAGTAACAAATTGAGAGAATATTACGGGAGTAGTGGTTACAGTAGATAGGGAATGAGTTGTTTATACAATAGATGAGGTTGATGTACAACGTTTGTATGAGAGATTGAGTAAATTGATAGGAAGCCAGTAGGGTGACATACAAGGACTGAATTAGAGCTTATACAACTGAGTATAAAACTGTATAAGCTCTAATTCAGTCCTTGTATGTCACCCTACTGGCTTCCTATCAATTCCTACCAGGCCACAACACCGACATATGGTAGAGCGGTTCTGTGTGCTCGTGCTGCATGTAGGAGCATCACACACTTGCGTTAGGTCTTTGAAAATCTCTAGGATGATCAGTTGAACTCTTAGGACTATTATTGGTGTCCATCTTATTGACTCTGATATAGCTGTGACTTACTTCATTTCATTAACTGCTAGTGAACTGGCGTCTGCAGCGCAAGGGGCTTCTACAAACTATTGGCATGATGAAAGCTTGATCGGCTGTGGTGTAGGGTAGCATCTCTGTGCTGGAACCAAGGCCTCTCCATATTGGGCAAGGAAGCGTCAGTGGACAATACTATTATGGGTCAACCTTTGCATCATGCTCGATAAACTCCAGGGTAAACGTTCCGATAAATCTCCACTAGTGGAGACACTTTTTGCATTTGAAGACGATAACAACAATGCTGACCTCCTCGTAGCATGAAACTGGATAGAAAGCCATAAACGTCAACTTTGAATTTTCCAATCTTATCGTGGTGTAAGATCGCTGGTGGTTTAACATCTACTGTTACACATCAGTACCGACTGTAATATGTACCGAATGCGTTCATTATAACCATTCAAACGTTTCAATTTACACAGTGAAGTACAAAAAGTGGGTACTATTGGCGGATATAATTGACATCGAAACCGGACCTCGGAGACGAATTGGCATTTTTGTCGGGGTGGCATTTATCCTAGACCCTTTTTGTTCATGGCAGGTGGGAGCGTCACTCCCCTGCCCCACTGGCGACTCATGCTGTCCCACAAGATTAATCAACATAGTGGATCTTGTAAATGGGAATAACTGACAACTAACTGTTCAGTCGTGAAACATACACGATCACGTAAACGATGGAGATATCTGACAGATATTAAATTCGGTTACTGAAACATCTCCATGATTTTTCCGGTATTTGTTCTCCCAAACTGAGAATGCGGATGCTGCCCACGTGCAACTGCCAGTTCAGCACACGGATGTACAAAAATAAGATTAGCAAATCTCCCTGTTGAACAGGATATTCTGTCACCATTCTTTTCCACAAAATCAGTGGGCCAAAACATTTACTGTCGTAGTCCATTGTTGAATAAAGTGTTTGGAAAACACCCTCTCCCAGATTGCGTTTAATCTCATTTAAATTAATTGTATCCACGTCCTGAGCTCATTTTTTGACTTATGTCAAAGATAAACATCAATGTGTAGCTGTAACTGTGACAGTAGTATCATGTCAAGCTCTGCCGGCTTTAATTTAAATGTGTGAAAGAAAACGATATATCTATAATCGGCGCACATGATACATATTTTGATTTACGGTTTAAATTTGGATACCGCAACAACGGTGATGGTCAAAATTTTGTTCATAATTAAAACTAGACCTTGACTGAACACCAAAGCTTGACCTTCATAGAATGCAAGTATGATCTAGTATAGACAGACACCACACATTTGTCAAGTCTGGACCTAGTTACAACCCATTGCTCTTGTCTAGACTGAGTCAATATGTTATGGTTTGGACCTAGACTTCACGCTGTGGAACATCTAGGTTAGAACTTGATGTGGACCCCAAAAAACACAAAAAACCCAGGTAGTCCTAGACACCACATTGTCGTCTAGACGACAGAGTACAATACTCCTAATCAGACAACTGAAGTCATTCAACAGAACACATTTCATCAAAATATATCTTTTATTCACAACCAAAACAAAATATGTTAGGGTTAACAAAATGGCAGTTTCAATTTGGACACTGCCCAAACTGTGCAAATGTATAACATTATGCTGTCTTGGTTTATAAAATATGAAAACATACAAATAAAGCAGAGTAATCGACTTCCTTTTGTAATCGGCAAAAAAACCATCATAGTAAAATATAAAGCATACAAAAGAAACAGAAATGTGAAATGAAAATGAAATACTAAAGAACCCGGGATGAGTTTTCTTGGATTTGCAACATCTCAAGCCGTGCTTTCAAATTCTTAAACCTTAAGATTATTATGGGGAAAAGAAATAAAGTTTTTGTGTATGGATTTGCCCCAATTTGAATACTTGTCAGAGATGTGACACATTTCAGCACATAACTTCACGAGTTTCTTGGAATATTTAATTGATATCGGAAGGCGGATCTGAAAACATTTCCCAAAGTGGATGATTGGGTGAGAGGAGCGTTGGAATGGAAGCAGCAACATGAGACCAGCAGACAAGAGAATGGGACAGAGTAAGACGAGGTCAGTGCTGGAGATGTTGCAAGACAGATGATAGAAAAGGTAACTCGAGGAGAGAAAGTTCCAGCGAACAGAGAGGACAGGATGACCATGCTCATGAAAGCAATAAGAATGTAATCGTGTAAAGTTAATGCCTGGGACCAAACAGCAATATAATTTGACCTGAATTTATGATGGGTCACAGTATTGACTTTTCAGCAAATGAATGGGATTTTCAGAACAGGTGTGGTTAAACATATGTGATGATGATGATGATGATGATGATGATGATGATGATGATGATGATGATGTTGATGATGATGATGATGATGATGAGGAGGAGGAGGAGGAACTATTCAATTTGAAAGACACAATTCGAAATGTATAGATATTTTTGCTACATCTAAATGAATGTTGGTGAAGTAATTTTCATATTGCGGTTGTTGTACAAATAGTAATGAAGGAGCAATGACGCTGACTAGCAACACATGGATTAGATACCTCATCACTTAAATATCTCTGGAAATAAGAGAACACAGTTTGGTGGTGCACAAAGCAATGTGAGGACGAGATATGCACTATGCATGAGATCAATCCAAGAACATTATGTTGTGCAAGATCTATACGTGGCATGTACAAACTTATGTAACAAACTTTGAACAGCAATTGTCTTGACCCCTAACTTTGAACAGCAATTGTCTTGACCCCTAACTTTGAACAGCAATTGTCTTGACTCCTAACTTTGAACAGCAATTGTCTTGACTCCTAACTTTGAACAGCAATTGTCTTGACTCCTAACTTTGAACAGCAATTGTCTTGACTCCTAACTTTGAACAGCAATTGTCTTGACTCCTAACTTTGAACAGCAATTGTCTTGACTCCTAACTTTGAACAGCAATTGTCTTGACTCCTAACTTTGAACAGCAATTGTCTTGACTCCTAACTTTGAATAGCAATTGTCTTGACCCCTAACTTTGAACAGCAATTGTCTTGACTCCTAACTTTGAACAGCAATTGTCTTGACTCCTAACTTTGAACAGCAATTGTCTTGACTCCTAACTTTGAACAGCAATTGTCTTGACTCCTAACTTTGAACAGCAACAGCAATTTGAACAGCAATTGCTTGACTTGACTAACTTTGAACAGCAATTGTCTTGACTCCTAACTTTGAACAGCAATTGTCTTGACCCCCTAACTTTGAATAGCAATTGTCTTGACTCCTAACTTTGAACAGCAATTGTCTTGACTCCTAACTTTGAACAGCAATTGTCTTGACTCCTAACTTTGAACAGCAATTGTCTTGACTCCTAACTTTGAACAGCAATTGTCTTGACTCCTAACTTTGAACAGCAATTGTCTTGACTCCTAACTTTGAACAGCAATTGTCTTGACTCCTAACTTTGAACAGCAATTGTCTTGACTCCTAACTTTGAACAGCAATTGTCTTGACTCTAACTTTGAACAGCAATTGTCTTGACTCCTAACTTTGAACAGCAATTGTCTTGACTCCTAACTTTGAACAGCAATTGTCTTGACTCCTAACTTTGAACAGCAATTGTCTTGACTCCTAACTTTGAACAGCAACAGCAATTGTCTTGACTCCTAACTTTGAACAGTAATTGTCTTGACTCCTAACTTTGAACAGCAATTGTATTGACCCCTAACTTTGAATAGCAATTGTCTTGACTCCTAACTTTGAACAGCAATTGTCTTGACCCCTAACTTTGAACAGCAATTGTCTTGACTCCTAACTTTGAACAGCAATTGTCTTGACCCCTAACTTTGAACAGCAATTGTCTTGACTCCTAACTTTGAACAGCAATTGTCTTGACTCCTAACTTTGAACAGCAATTGTCTTGACTCCTAACTTTGAATAGAAATTGTCTTGACTCCTAGCTTTGAACAGCAATTGTCTTGACTCAGGATAGATATATGGAGCAAATCATCTTCCCACGTCTTTGTGAAAACTCTTGACAACACCGAGATACTCATTTACGACACTAAATCCTCATATATACCAAATGAATAATATATGTCATACAATGGTTCGGCCTTGTGTCAACCATTGAGACAGTTGTAATGATGTTCATAATCACACGCTAGTCTCATATATTTCTACATCTTACAGAGTTGTGGAGAGTATTACTTTTACATTTAACTTGACATGTTGCGTTGAATACATATCTAAGCGTTTTTTTATCGACAAAGCAAGAATTAAGCCCCATTATTATAAATACATTTAAAAGCAACATCTACACATGTTTAGTGTACAGATATCAACACATTGATAAAAAGTATCAAAACTGACTGTATAAAATATATCAATATATAGTTGAGCACCGGGATATAAGTTTAGCACTATTTAAATATTTACAAAATTTCAAAAACAATATTACTACAAATATATACGATCTTCCGCTGAAGGAACAGCATGTACAACAAGGAATCTCTCGAGTCTGATTTGTCCCACAACTAAAAGAATAACGTAGCTTTGTAAATGGAAACAGTAGCATAAAGAAACATTTAACATGAAATTAAAACGTTTGGCAAATTTGTCACAAGACAACGCACTATATTGTAGAGAATTTATCATTAAACTTCACTAACCGGTTTCAACATAAGTTACAACATCTATCAACAGAGGATATAAATATAGTAACATAGCAGCTGCAGTCTATGCAGGCGGCAACATCCCTGTCAGCTGCCAGCCCGTCGAGTTTGGTCCAAACTTGTATACCAGCTTCTTACCAAACACAGGCTGCAAAATCTTTCGGTGGTAGTAGTATCTGTAAACGATTAAAGACAACATTATTAAACAAAAATGAAATCATTTATCTTTGAGTTTTGTTTCACTAAAATGTTGTCATTGAATTCTCTAATTCAGCAAATGAACGTGAAAGGAAATAGGTTAATTGTAACAGATACACGTGTGTTTTCTCTTTAGCATCATGATAGTGTCATGGACTCCCAAGACATCCCCAAAACCGAATGCAAAACCACGATCTATTGAGCTCAAAGTTTCAATAAATGTCAGTTCACGAAGCGTTACACATGTATCTTCCGATTACAACATGATATACAATGTATATCTATAAAACAAAAACGAGTTTAACACAACACACTGTACCGATTTGAGTGTTGAATGCGAGAATCTCGATTGCGAGTCTCCGAAATTAGGCCAAAAATACTGTCCACCAGATTAAATCTTAAAATTGTTTGTGAGTTTTGTAATTTTGTGGCCGTTCACCCTCACTCTGCATCCCCCCTCTCATGAGACGACGCTCGCCACCCGCACAACAAGTAGGTCAGTGAGCCGGGTACTGATTGCGCCCCCCGCTTGTGCACTTATTTCCACAGCGGACGCTCATTGGTTGGCTGTGACACAAGCGGCTTGGCGACAGATCTCGGTCAGCGTAACCTGAACACCGATCAGCTGATCATTGTTGTAAATACTATCCACGGCCCCTCTGTCTTCACTAGTGTAATAAGATAACATGCAAAAGTCCTTGTGGAGCGGGGCTTGTCGGAAACCTGATATCTAGACTGGTGCACATACAGTAAGGCGGAAAACTCAAGCAGATGCATAACCTGACCACACATTGACTAAAACTTTCTATTTACAACTATCCTGTACATTATTTATGTTATTTATCCCAACTGTGTATTACGGAAGACTTTAGGAACATTTTTTCTTGAAATAGCAAGATGTTGTGTTGAAATTTCAAGATAGGTTCTTAGTTGAAATTTCTCGATAAAGATTTTGAAACTAACTTAGACGTTTTAGATGATAAGCTAACTTCAAATTTCAGCTTATAGAATCGTCAAACTTCAGCTTACATGTCCTGGTCCGAATAATCTTCCTTACAAACCACAAATCATTCACTGGCATTGTTTATGTCTTGAAGTTAGTGAAATGAAAACGATCGGAAAATCGGGTTGAACGTTATGTTGTGTGTAAATGTTGTATTGTATGACGACCGTGTCACAGTCAAACACATGGAGGATACGACTACCCAGAGCTCGACTACCCAGAGGTGATAGATGCCACATAAACAACAGTTAATATATACCTCATAGCTCGACTACCCAGAGAAGATAGATGACACATAAACAACAGTTAATATGTACCTAATAGCTCGACTACCGAGAGGTGATAGATGCCACATAAACAACAGTTAATATGTACCTCATAGCTCGACTACCCAGAGAAGATAGATGCCACATAAACAACAGTTAATATGTACCTCATAGCTCGACTACCCAGAGAAGATAGATGCCACATAAACAACAGTTAATATGTACCTCATAGCTCGACTACCCAGAGAAGATAGATGCCACATAAACAACAGTTAATATGTACCTCATAGCTCAACTACCCAGAGGTGATAGATGTCACATAAACAACAGTTAATATGTACCTCATAGCTCGACTACCCAGAGAAGATAGATGCCACATAAACAACAGTTAATATGTACCTCATAGCTCGACTACCCAGAGGTGATAGATGTCACATAAACAACAGTTAATATATACCTCATAGCTCGACTACCCAGAGGTGATAGATGCCACATAAACAACAGTTAAAATGTACCTCATAGCTCGACTACCCAGAGGTGATAGATGTCACATAAACAACAGTTAATATGTACCTCATAGCTCGACTACCCAGAGGAGATAGATGCCACATAAACAACAGTTAATATGTACCTCATAGCTCGACTACCGAGAGGTGATAGATGCCACATAAACAACAGTTAATATGTACCTCATAGCTCGACTACCCAGAGGAGATAGATGCCACATAAACAACAGTTAATATGTACCTCATAGCTCGACTACCCAGAGGAGATAGATGCCACATAAACAACAGTTAATATATACCTCATAGCTCGACTACCCAGAGAAGATAGATGCCACATAAACAACAATTAATATGTACCTCATAGCTCGACTACCCAGAGGAGATAGATGCCACATAAACAACAGTTAATATGTACCTCATAGCTCGACTACCGAGAGGTGATAGATGTCACATAAACAACAGTTAATATGTACCTCATAGCTCGACTACCCAGAGAAGATAGATGACACATAAACAACAGTTAATATGTACCTCATAGCTCGACTACCCAGAGAAGATAGATGCCACATAAACAACAGTTAATATGTACCTCATAGCTCGACTACCCAGAGGAGATAGATGCCACATAAACAACAGTTAATATGTACCTCATAGCTCGACTACCCAGAGGAGATAGATGCCACATAAACAACAGTTAATATATACCTCATAGCTCGACTACCCAGAGAAGATAGATGCCACATAAACAACAATTAATATGTACCTCATAGCTCGACTACCCAGAGGAGATAGATGCCACATAAACAACAGTTAATATGTACCTCATAGCTCGACTACCCAGAGGTGATAGATGTCACATAAACAACAGTTAATATGTACCTCATAGCTCGACTACCCAGAGAAGATAGATGCCACATAAACAACAGTTAATATGTACCTCATAGATCGACTACCCAGAGAAGATAGATGCCACATAAACAACAGTTAATATGTACCTCATAGCTCGACTACCCAGAGGAGATAGATGCCACATAAACAACAGTTAATATGTACCTCATAGCTCGACTACCCAGAGGAGATAGATGCCACATAAACAACAGTTAATATATACCTCATAGCTCGACTACCCAGAGAAGATAGATGCCACATAAACAACAATTAATATGTACCTCATAGCTCGACTACCCAGAGGAGATAGATGCCACATAAACAACAGTTAATATGTACCTCATAGCTCGACTACCCAGAGGTGATAGATGTCACATAAACAACAGTTAATATGTACCTCATAGCTCGACTACCCAGAGAAGATAGATGACACATAAACAACAGTTAATATGTACCTCATAGCTCGACTACCCAGAGGAGATAGATGCCACATAAACAACAGTTAATATGTACCTCATAGCTCGACTACCCAGAGGAGATAGATGCCACATAAACAACAGTTAATATGTACCTCATAGCTCGACTACCGAGAGGTGATAGATGTCACATAAACAACAGTTAATATGTACCTCATAGCTCGACTACCCAGAGAAGATAGATGACACATAAACAACAGTTAATATGTACCTCATAGCTCGACTACCCAGAGAAGATAGATGCCACATAAACAACAGTTAATATGTACCTCATAGCTCGACTACCCAGAGGAGATAGATGCCACATAAACAACAGTTAATATGTACCTCATAGCTCGACTACCCAGAGGAGATAGATGCCACATAAACAACAGTTAATATATACCTCATAGCTCGACTACCCAGAGAAGATAGATGCCACATAAACAACAATTAATATGTACCTCATAGCTCGACTACCCAGAGGAGATAGATGCCACATAAACAACAGTTAATATGTACCTCATAGCTCGACTACCCAGAGGTGATAGATGTCACATAAACAACAGTTAATATGTACCTCATAGCTCGACTACCCAGAGAAGATAGATGCCACATAAACAACAGTTAATATGTACCTCATAGCTCGACTACCCAGAGAAGATAGATGCCACATAAACAACAGTTAATATGTACCTCATAGCTCGACTACCCAGAGGAGATAGATGCCACATAAACAACAGTTAATATGTACCTCATAGCTCGACTACCCAGAGGAGATAGATGCCACATAAACAACAGTTAATATATACCTCATAGCTCGACTACCCAGAGAAGATAGATGCCACATAAACAACAATTAATATGTACCTCATAGCTCGACTACCCAGAGGAGATAGATGCCACATAAACAACAGTTAATATGTACCTCATAGCTCGACTACCCAGAGGTGATAGATGTCACATAAACAACAGTTAATATGTACCTCATAGCTCGACTACCCAGAGAAGATAGATGACACATAAACAACAGTTAATATGTACCTCATAGCTCGACTACCCAGAGGAGATAGATGCCACATAAACAACAGTTAATATGTACCTCATAGCTCGACTACCCAGAGGAGATAGATGCCACATAAACAACAGTTAATATGTACCTCATAGCTCGACTACCCAGAGGAGATAGATGCCACATAAACAACAGTTAATATATACCTTATAGCTCGACTACCCAGAGAAGATAGATGCCACATAAACAACAATTAATATGTACCTCATAGCTCGACTACCCAGAGGAGATAGATGCCACTTAAACAACAGTTAATATGTACCTCATAGCTCGACTACCCAGAGGTGATAGATGTCACATAAACAACAGTTAATATGTACCTCATAGCTCGACTACCCAGAGAAGATAGATGACACATAAAGAACAGTTAATATGTACCTCATAGCTCGACTACCCAGAGAAGATAGATGCCACATAAACAACAGTTAATATGTACCTCATAGCTCGACTACCCAGAGGTGATAGATGCCACATAATCAATAGTTAATATGTACCTCATAGCTCTACTCAGCTTCTCATAGGTCATGTCCAAGTTGTTCTTTCGCTTCCCCCACATCCGGGCAATGGCCCTAGAGTTGACGAGCCTGAACATCCCCTTCTCTCTATCCACCCACTCTATGTGTGACGGGTTGAAGTTGGGGTCAAGCAGCAGCCGCAAGATGAACTCCCATAGCCTTTCTGCACGGGGCACTGTCAACAGGTAGATCAAGTCATTAGGTTTACACTTGGTACTGTCAGATAGATCAAGCCATTAGGGTTACACTGGGTACTGTCAGATAGATCAAGACATTAGGGTTACACTGGGTACTGACAGGTTGATCAAGACATTAGGGTTACACTGGGTACTGTCAGATAGATCAAGCCATTAGGGTTACACTGGGTACTGTCAGGTTGATCAAGCCATTAGGGTTACACTGGGTACTGTCAGATAGATCAAGACATTAGGGTTACACTGGGCACTGTCAGGTAGATCAAGACATTAGGGTTACACTGGGTACTGTCACGTTGATCAAGACATTAGGGTTACACTGAGTACTGTCAGGTAGATCAAGACATTAGGGTTACACTGGGTACTGTCAAACAGATAGAGACATTAGGGTTACACTGGGTACTGTCAGGTAGATCAAGACATTAGGGTTACACTGGGTACTGTCAGGTTGATCAAGCCATTAGGGTTACACTGGGTACTGTCAGGTTGATCAAGACATTAGGGTTACACTGGGTACTGTCAGGTTGCTCAAGCCATTAGGGTTACACTGGGTACTGTCAAACAGATAGAGACATTAGGGTTACACTGGGTACTGTTAGGTAGATCAAGCCATTAGGGTTACACTGGGTACTGTCAGGTTGATCAAGACATTAGAGTTACACTGGGTACTGTCAAACAGATAGAGACATTAGGGTTACACCGGGTACTGTCAGGTAGATCAAACCATTAGGGTTACACTGGGTACTGTCAGGTACATCAAGACATTAGGGTTACACTGGGTACTGTCAAACAGATAGGGACATAAGGGTTACACTGGGTACTGTCAAAGAGATAGAGACATTAGGGTTACACTGGGTACTGTCAGGTAGATCAAGACATTAGGGTTACACTGGGTACTGTCAGTTAGATCAAGACATTAGGGTTACACTGGGCACTGTCAGGTTGATCAAGCCATTAGGGTTACACTGGGTACTGTCAAACAGATAGAGACATTAGGGTTACACTGGGTACTGTCAGATAGATCAAGACATTAAGGTTACACTGGGTACTGTCAGGTTGATCAAGCCATTTGGGTTACACTGGGTACTGTCAGGTTGATCAAGACATTAGGGTTACACTGGGTACTGTGAGGTAGATCAAGACATTAGGGTCACATTGGGTACTGTCAGGTAGATCAAGACATTAGGGTTACACTGGGTACTGTCAGGTAGATCAAGCCATTAGGGTTACACAGGGTACTGTCAAACAGATAGAGACATTAGGGTTACACTGGGTACTGTCAGGTAGATCAAGACATTAAGGTTACACTTGGTACTGTCAGGTTGGTCAAGCCATTAGGGTTACACTGGGTACTGTCAGGTTGATCAAGACATTAGGGTTACACTGGGTACTGTGAGGTAGATCAAGACATTAGGGTTACACTGGGTACTGTCAGGTAGATCAAGACATTAGGGTTACACTGGGTACTGTCAGGTAGATCAAGACATTAGGGTTACACTGGGTACTGTCAGGTAGATCAAGACATTAGAGTTACACTGGGCACTGTCAGGTTGATCAAGACATTAGGGTTACACTGGGCACTGTCAGGTTGATCAAGACATTAGGGTTACACTGGGTACTGTCAAACAGATAGAGACATTAGGGTTACACTGGGTACTGTCAGGTAGATCAAGCCATTAGGGTTACACTGGGTACTGTCAGGTTGATCAAGACATTAGGGTTACACTAGGTACTGTCAGGTTGATCAAGACAGTAGTGTTACACTGGGTACTGTCAGGTAGATCAAGACATTAGGGTTACACTGGGTACTGTCAGGTTGATCAGGCCATTAGAGTTACACTGGGTACTGTCAGGTAGATCAAGACATTAGGGTTACACTGGGTACTGTCAGGTAGATCAAGACATTAGGGTTACACTGGGTACTGTCAGGTTGATCAAGACATTATGGTTACACTGGGTACTGTCAGGTAGATCAAGACATTAGGGTTACACTGGGTACTGTCAGGTAGATCAAGACATTAGGGTTACACTGGGTACTGTCAGGTAGATCAAGACAGGGTTAAACTGGGTACTGTCAGGTAGACCAAGACATTAGGGTTACACTGGGTACTGTCAAACAGATAGAGACATTAGGATTACACTGGGTACTGTCAGGTAGATCAAGACATTAAGGTTACACTGGGTACTGTCAGGTTGGTCAAGCCATTAGGGTTACACTGGGTACTGTCAGGTTGATCAAGACATTAGGGTTACACTGGGTACTGTGAGGTAGATCAAGACATTAGGGTTACACTGGGTACTGTCAGGTAGATCAAGACATTAGGGTTACACTGGGTACTGTCAGGTAGATCAAGACATTAGGGTTACACTGGGTACTGTCAGGTAGATCAAGACATTAGAGTTACACTGGGCACTGTCAGGTTGATCAAGACATTAGGGTTACACTGGGTACTGTCAGGTTGATCAAGGCATTAGGGTTACACTGGGTACTGTCAAACAGATAGAGACATTAGGGTTACACTGGGTACTGTCAGGTAGATCAAGCCATTAGGGTTACACTGGGTACTGTCAGGTTGATCAAGACATTAGGGTTACACTAGGTACTGTCAGGTTGATCAAGACATTAGGGTTACACTAGGTACTGTCACGTAGATCAAGACATTAGGGTTACACTAGGTACTGTCAGGTAGATCAAGACAGTAGTGTTACACTGGGTACTGTCAGGTAGATCAAGACATTAGGGTTACACTGGGTACTGTCAGGTTGATCAGGCCATTAGAGTTACACTGGGTACTGTCAGGTAGATCAAGCCATTAGGGTTACACTGGGTACTGTCAGGTTGATCAAGACATTAGGGTCACACTGGGTACTGTCAGGTAGATCAAGACATTATGGTCACACTGGGTACTGTCAGGTTGATCAAGACATTAGGGTTACACTGGGTGCTGTCAGGTAGATCAAGACATTAGGGTCACATTGGGTACTGTCAGGTAGATCAAGCCATTAGGGTTACACTGGGTACTGTCAGGTTGATCAAGACATTATGGTCACACTGGGTACTGTCAGGTTGATCAAGACATTAGGGTTACACTGGGTACTGTCAGGTAGATCAAGACATTAGGGTTACACTGGGTACTGTCAGGTAGATCAAGACATTAGGGTTAAGCTGGGTACTGTCAGGTAGATCAGTCATTAGGGTTACACTGGGTACTGTCAGGTAGATCAAGACATTAGGGTTACACTGGGTACTGTCAGGTAGATCAAGCCATTAGGGTCACATTGGGTACTGTCAGATAGATCAAGCCATTAGGGTTACACTGGGTACTGTCAGGTTGATCAGGCCATTAGAGTTACACTGGGTACTGTCAGGTAGATCAAGCCATTAGGGTTACACTGGGTACTGTCAGGTTGATCAAGACATTAGGGTCACACTGGGTACTGTCAGGTAGATCAAGACATTATGGTCACACTGGGTACTGTCAGGTTGATCAAGACATTAGGGTTACACTGGGTACTGTCAGGTAGATCAAGACATTAGGGTCACATTAGGTAGATCAAGCCATTAGGGTTACACTGGGTACTGTCAGGTAGATCAAGCCATTAGGGTTACACTGGGTACTGTCAGGTAGATCAAGACATTAGGGTTACACTAGGTACTGTCAGGTAGATCAAGACATTAGGGTTAAACTGGGTACTGTGACGTAGATCAGTCATTAGGGTTACACTGGGCACAGATGTTTTGAAACATGTCACGTCAACATGTAGTATCAGGCAACATAAAATAACTAGATGTTTTGAAACATGTCACGTCAACATGACTTGAAGGCTTCTGGCTCTAGCAGACCGCCTCCCTTTCGACCACAGCTTACGGTTTCAAATATCCGTCGTTTCCCATAACTTACACTACTGGGCCTAGATTTTCGAAGCTCTCTTAGCGCTAAGATATTCGTAAGTTAATGTTAATGTATGGCACTTACGACTATCGCAGCGCTAAGAGAGCTTCGAAAATCTAGGCCCTGAACGCGAAGCACGATTCATCTTAAACCCGCAGATGTTGAGAAAGGTATAAGTTAAAGTACATGTCGCAGCCTGTTCACAATTTTTGTCTTGGCATATTCCAAAAGATCACATATTATTATTAACGCCATAATTGAAAATAATGTGACTAAGATATTTAATGAATAAAACACCCGTTCAGTAGAAGCAGCCAAGCAAAACTCAAGACGGTCCTGTGAGTGTCACCGTTAATAAGTCTCCTCACAGAACAAAGGAGTTTGACAATCTCACTCTCACATTCCCACAGCCACCGACGCAATCGTCTTGCGTTGACAACAGCTTATACTTGTATTTCAATGCATAGACGCTAATCAATATTTCTACAGTAGCCCTCTTTATTCCCTTCGGTTATGGACCAGTGGTGCGGTTAAACATAAGCAACAATAACATCACTTGACAAAAGCTGCGATTATAATAGCGCACGTGTTTGTGGCTGTTAATTGAAGACGCCGTAACGTTAGTATGGCCAGCGGTTTTAAGAGTCTTTGATAGCTAAATCGTTCAGTTTATGATTTATGTAAATTTAGCGACGCGAAACCAAGAGGTTTATGGTGACGTGTCGGGTAACGCTAACAGCACCGACAAGCCGACATGTAGCGTTATTGGGTAACATTCCTTCATCGTTGTTCCGTAAAAGACCAGAGATCCGTGACTGATTTGTTTTTCTAATTATTTATATTATGCAGCTGTTTTCGTTTTATAATAATGGGCCGACCATTTGAGAGTCTATCGGAGCTGTAGACTCGAGGAGGAAAGTGTTCTGTTGATAAACGTATACGAAATAGCCGCTGATTAAATCAAATAATAACTCTACACATGTATGCATAGGTGACAGCAACGTTCATCTTTTAAAAAACACAGTAACAAACACAAAGAGCTAACAGGATTTAAAGTCTTACATCTCTTGTTCCTGGAAGTACCCTGTGCGCGTTTCGGGGGTTGGGGACAGATGATGGGAATAGTTTCTTCTATGCCTGTGTGTGTGACAACTGCAACGTTAGGTGGATAACCTGTAAACAAGTATACAAAACATGAACACATAAACAAACACAATTGCTTCATAACTCGTAATAGGAGTGTTTTGTGGTGCTGTGGAAATAAATAATCTGCCAACCAATTTGCCCCCCCCCCCCCTTCCACGCGCTCGCGCACGAACTCAGTCACACATCAAGTGCTCCCCTTAGACGTTATTTCGTCATATACGCCGTATATACATGTACATAGCCAAATTTATTTTTGTTGACAGGTACTAGAATAAATCAAATCTCAGTGTTAAAATATATTCTTCTTTTTGTATCGAATGACTAATATAGATTAGTAATGAATTCGCTCCTTGACCCATCCAATTGTCGTGTTTACCGACCTACTCTTTATTTGTGTTATAACATTTTGGACCTTCATTGATCCTGTTATAAATCGACTACTTGGCCCCCGCACAAAGCGAAAGTATTACAGTGATACATTATACAGGACATCCAAGTTATACGTCCAATACGCGCCTTCCTACAGCCCAACAGTCTTGTAACCGACTGTAGTATTCAAAGCACATTCAGTTCTACTCAGAGCTAACAATACTGAGAGAATCCCTAATCATATGTGCATGTGTGTATCTGGATTGAAGATTAAAAAAGGAAACATGTCGTTAAAGCAACAAACTCCGTGACCCACTCGTTGGACTGATACAACAGTCGGCGTGAACACGGTGAACATTTACGTACATTTACTTCCTGCTGCCCGACAGGGAGGTAACTCTGGAATGCTCCCTCGAAGAACATTCCTATCTGTTTAGTGAAGATTTTAACTCGTGTATTTAGATGTAGCTGGTCTTGTAAGTAATGAGAAGGTCACGTGTTTAATTAGATGATTAAGATAAAAAAGCAAAACCTTTGTAACGTTAATGATAAAAACACACTTTTCCCGTACGCTTAGAGATCTCCACACAAGTTAACCTTGTACAGTAAAAGATTGCATTTTCCGAATAGTGTTTCAATCATAAAATGATTTTGTAATTGCCATAATATTGTTCTAACTCAGTATTCACTACCAATAATCGAAGTAACAAATGCATTTTACGTTTCAGCGAACTGCCAAATATCAGACAATACTACTGGCATCGGGATAAATGTGTCGTAATCCTAAGGAAGGTACAGTTTTGATGTATAGGACTATTGTTTGGGGTGTTTACGTGAGGTAACAAGTTGAGGCCGTGTTTGCGTTTTGAATGAATTTTTACACTCACAGTTACTGGCATCAAACTTGTCCTCTGGGTCAATACAGTAACGATGCCTTCCGAAAACAGCATACACTTGATCTTCCAACTTTTCTATCCTCAAAGCTTCAGTGCCCCGGTGATGTGTTCTCGACACGTGTCTCTCCGCTGCAATACATAACCACGCTCTTCAAAATACAAAATATATGCTAGTTACGTTAATGCACATTCTTACTACCTAAGGTTCAATGTGAACCAGTAATGTTGGTTTTAATATGCTACCTTTGTATGCTTTAGTTATGTATCAACTTCAGGAAGTTGAGTAATCGAACCAGAGTAAAAACCCCACAATTCATCATTCGCATCGTTTATAAAGTCAGTAAGTTTCAACCGTTGGCTACTCACAGATCGCTTAGTCGTATGTGAATGTTGTATGTGCTCACCTTCTGGGTGGGGATTGATGTAATGCAGACACGAACTGTCCATGGGAGCGAGAGGGGTGTATTCTTGGCTGGGCTCTATGTGGCAGCTGCTGAACACCACCTCCACTGAAATAAAATACTCCAAAATGAACTAAAATATTTTCATGATATAACAGAAAAAGAAATCCGCAACACAGTAACTGCTAAGGATATATTTTCGGCCAAGTGAATCAAGGAATTGATTTGTAAAAGTGTTTCAAGGTCATGCTACCATTAACATACAAACAACTAAGATTTCAAGATTTCATCGAAATCGTTGTCAACAGTAACAGAACCTGCACGTTTAAACAGATTCAGAAACTACAAGTTGGACAAATACAAGAAATCCCCGCTTATTTTAGAGTCCAAGTTATGCAGGAAGGTATTTATTTACCTGGATTGTTGGCGAACCAGTGGTTGGCGGTGTCGTCGTCGGAGAGCAGGGGCGAGTGTTGGGGGGATCCTGAAGAAGACGCCGGGGACGACACATCGGACGAATAGTCGCAAGTGTAATCTGAAAGCATTGTTGTGTTATATAACAGCCATATTACCATGACGGTTCTGTCTCTGTACAGACTGCAGCCTAGTAACACTTTCCCAACAAGCGGTCTTCGTTGTCAGCAGAGGAATAACGTCTAGGTGTATAACATTAGTTAATAGTTCTTTAACTTTATGGTACAGCTAAGAGAAACCACCACTTCTGTCCCAACTGGGGTGCACGGGACTTGTCCAGGTCATGACGTTTGGTATTTGAGCACCATGGCGGTATTCATGGTTTTAAACTAGAAGGTAATTGTCAGTGACGCAGTGAAATTACATCTTATACCACAACCTTTACGTTTCTAGTTTTGTAACTCTTTCTCTCTTCCACTACTGTACAATTACTATTGAGGTACCCACCATATCGGGGCTGATGGTACTCATACGAAATCGGGATATGCTCCACGTATGCTGTCTGAGCCATGCTGAATATGTCTTCTGTCCTGGTTCTGGTAAAAAGGAAAACAATTATTACTGCATAATATGATCAAACGTCATTACCGTATTTGTTCCATGTTAAAGCAGCGTTACGTAAACGTTGTTCCCCAAGGCTCACTCCCTCACTGTGACGAGTTTCAGCTGTGTATGTCAGGATCTGCTGTCCTACATTTCAAGTGGATATCGGTAAGATCAAACTGCAAAGTACCTCTGTTCCACACATAGTACGAAAATATCGACGTCCTTAACCGAGTTTTGGTCCTAACGTAGAAAAATCTAAGGTATGATAGATTGTACACGGCGCACGGATTACTTATTAATGCCATCATCAGTTCACGTGTGGGGACGTCCCAACGCCAATACGTACCCGCAGTGCAAGCTCCCAACTACATACAAGTACCCGTCCCTACAACGGCCTCCAAATACCACCGTAAGCAAAACGTGCACCTCTAATTAATAGTCGTTTGAAACCCCGCCCTCCGACCAATCATATTCCTAGATTTAAATATGTCACGTGATGATGTGTAATGGAAATTCCCATATTGTCTGTACCTGAGACGCCTCCATAGGAATCGCAAATGATGTTGTGAGTTAAAATTGTGACACACTACGATAGGCCATTTCACAAGCACCCGGGAGGCATCCCCTTCCCCCTGACATCTGCAGCCCTGACCCCCAGGTCTAACATGGCGTCTGACGCTTGCATACCGCTAGATGAACGAGCACACGGACGGCCACGCTTGACGTCGCCCCTGTGAGCCGACGTCTGCTAAGGCCTTGCTATAGGACAATTGTAATGCTGAATAAATTGGATACCGTTAGACTCATAACTGTAATTTCTTTACTACGTTGCAATTCAGCGCTCGCAGTGCATCCAGTAGGGCCATATGTCAGTCCAGTTGTGAATGTAGTGAATGTATAAAACGCCTTAGTAATTCTTCACCTCTGGTCTCACAACAAGAAAACACAACTACTGCCGTTAACACCGCCACCATTACTACTGCTACTATCACTTCCACTATTGCTGCCGCTGCTACGACGACTACTGTTAAATGCGTCACCAATAATACTTACACCATTACTTGTATTTCCAAGGCTAGAATAACTAGCTTTGCTTTAGGACTGTCACAATTCAATGACCCCACAGCTGACGATATCTACACTGTCACCACAGGAATTCTTCTTGTTAGAATAACAAAAAAAGATGTACACTCACTGAAATATGTTCCTCAATCTTAGATATTTCTGCACATCGCATCAAAGGCCTAACAAATACATTGGTTAACATGCTGAACTGGCCGTGTTCCACAGTGGTAGGATGGCCGCACACAGGGCAAGCCGCTAACACGACTGATGCAATACTGACCCGCACCTTCACACCCACCTGACATTTTGAAACACTTTGGTTTTTGACGGACAAGAGTTGGTAAAGCATGTGTGGTCACTACATCTCTTTGGACAATGGTCACTTCTGCATCCAGACACATCGTTACAAGATCCTGAAACCAAATGAAATGGTCAGTCATTTCTAGGGAGTCGAATATATAGGAATAATTCTAAATGTAAGGAAAACTGACGAGGAAAAGATGGAACAAGGATATCAAACTACATAGGGAAAAACGGCTATCAGTGACGACAAAGTCATCACTTCCATCTCACAATTTTCCTGATAAAGCCTTTAAATATAATTGTAAAATACCAAAAATCACAAAATATGTTGAAATATTACAGATTTAGAGAGGACTAAAATTTCTGCATATGTGACAAGACTGACTAATCTCCATTAAGGTTTGGGTAAGTAAAGTTACTACTATGGTTCTGCTCCAGTTTCGGTGGCATATATTACAAGTAATGTTACAGTTGTTTGAAAAATATACTGTTTTCTTATCGTACATCTTCCAGTTGGCTTGGTTTCTACTACACAATCACCATTGTTGCCACAACCGTAGTCGAACCCTATAAGGAAGTAAGTCGCATGTAAGCTATGCCAGGTTGAGCTTTCACAGAGTTCCAACGTCAAATTCCACCATTATCATCGGATGCCATAGTCTTGTACAAGCATTCCAGCACGAGCGAGGTGTTCGAGTGAAGGCCAATTCAAACGCCCTTGAACGGGTATAGCTATTTCAGAACGATTTGGTTGATACTGATATCTATATTGATGTTTATATATTGAATTTAATTCAACGATCACTGTAAGACATGATCACCACGTTGGTTTATGTGGTATTTGATGTATTTTGACCACCATTGCGAAAGTACAGTGTCATCTTTATCCCATTAATAACATATATACCCTTTTTGTACAAGCAACAATCATTCACAATGAACTTATTACAATATCAGTTTCTCTGGGGTCTTGAAGGAACCAATAACTGCTACCACCTGCAGTCAACTGAGTATTTGGAGCTTATTTGGTAGAAACTTTTACCACGCCTATTTCAAACACTTGTAGCAAGGATGTTTTCCATGTCCTTAAATGATATTATCCCTACTAAAATAATAACATACTTATTCATATAAATGCAATATCAAAGAAATGCTATCTAAACAGAGAGCGGACCTACAAGATATGTATACATTAGTGACAGCGGACATACAGGGCATGCATACTAAAGTGACGGAGGACATACATAACATGTATACATGTAGTGACAGCAGACATACAGAACATGATACATGTAGTGGAAACAGACATACAGAACATGTATACATGTAATGACAGCAGACATACAGAACATGTATACATGTAGTGATAGCGGACATACAGAACATGTATACATGTAATGACAGCAGACATACAGAACATGTATACATGTAGTGACAGCGGACATACAGAACATGATACATGTAGTGACAGCAGACATACAGAACATGATACATGTAGTGGAAACAGACATACAGAACATGTATACATGTAATGACAGCAGACATACAGAACATGATACATGTAGTGGAAACAGACATACAGAACATGTATACATGTAATGACAGCAGACATACAGAACATGTATACATGTAATGACAGCAGACATACAGAACATGTATACATGTAGTGACAGCAGACATACAGAACATGATACATGTAGTGAAAACAGACATACAGAACATGTATACATGTAATGACAGCGGACATACAGAACATGTATACATGTAGTGACAGCGGACATACAGAACATGATACATGTAGTGGAAACAGACATACAGAACATGTATACATGTAATGACAGCGGACATACAGAACATGATACATGTAGTGACAGCGGACATAAAGAAAATGATACATGTAGTGGAAACAGACATACAGAACATGTATACATGTAATGACAGCGGACATACAGAACATGATACATGTAGTGACAGCAGACATACAGAACATGTATACATGTAGTGACAGCGGACATACAGAACATGATACATGTAGTGGAAACAGACATACAGAACATGTATACATGTAATGACAGCGGACATACAGAACATGATACATGTAGTGGAAACAGACATACAGAACATGTATACATGTAATGACAGCAGACATACAGAACATGTATACATGTAGTGACAACGGACATACAGAACATGTATACATGTAATGACAGCAGACATACAGAACATGTATACACGTAGTGGAAACAGACATACAGAACATGTGTACATGTAGTGATAGCGGACATACAGATCATGTATACATGTAATGACAGCAGATATACAGAACATGTATACATGTAATGACAGCAGACATACAGAACATGTATACATGTAATGACAGCAGACATACAGAACATGTATACATGTAGCGACAGCGGACATACAGAACATGTATACACGTAGTGAAAACAGATATACAGAACATGTATACATGTAGTGACAGTGAACATACAGAACATGATACATGTAGTGACAGCACATACAGAACATGCATACACTTTGCCCGGCAACCATTTACAGTATGAATTATCTAACGTCGACGTGTGACCTCAAGGAAAAATGTTGAACATGGACAACAAACCCATAAATGAAGCGAAATCTTAGTAGTTCAGTTTAGTAATTATCAAAGTCTTCCTCTTATATTATATTTCCTTGTTTCGACTGTAAATCCGTGTATCCTTAACGTCGAAGTTATCACAATCCAACGAGGAAAGTTGTTTGATCAATGATAAAATGTATAAAATTGAGTTTAATATGAAGTTATTCCGAATCGAAATCTTCCGCTCATAACAATGAAGTAGATAACAACTTTCATGGCCACACCAGGTATGAACAATGCAACCGATTACTGTTAGAAGCAAACTACACTAAACCACCACAGTAGTACCCCAGGTTAATCTCCGTCGTCTCCAGCAACACGCCTTGACTAAAGTGTTACCACATTTCATGATGAGTATATATTACCTCGAGTTTATATAAACAATAATGAACTAACCAACACTGACACAATGCAATAGTTCCTCATGTTTATAAACTAGTATTGGTTCAAGGAGGGCTACGGATCAGCTGTTAAATCTCTTAACTGATTTAGTCAGTCACAGTTGTAATTGTGGTCGTGTTTTTAAACCTCAATGTTCCCCGAGAAGGAAAATAGGTATGCTAGTTCCTCGTAGATGTGAACACACAAGTGATATCACTCTAACAATGACTAGATTAAAAACATCGTCCATCAATATCGATTATTGAATATGCTTCCTCAACTAGATCCCAATTTGTAAGCCTGGGTCACGATTTACGAAGCGAGCATACATAAATTTGTTTGGTCGCTAGGTCGGGAGTCTTCAATGAACCGAGCGATCGCTTTAACCACTAGGCTACCCCACCGCCCCTGCTGGGGATCAACCTGTATATTTTCAAAAATAAAGATTGCTAGTCATTATTCTATGGGGAAGTGATGACCAATGTACTTAGTTTTATACACGAACAAAAACAACACATAACATACTGAAAAAGTGATGAAATTGTTTACACGTTAAGGAACATCAGAGAAAAGGCATTCACTCTTAGAACCATGTAACCAATATATAGGGAATGCAAACGTTTCAGAAAGGTTGCAGTTCTTGACATACTTTCTATCTGACGAGCTAACTTATGAAGTTACCGACACTTAAAAATACTGAACTAAATGGGACAATAACACATGCATTGTATTTGAAGTTTGAATATCTTCGAACAGTGTACACAACAATTTTGTTCGTAAACGTACATATGTGTAGAGTTCTGCAAGACTTCTAACGGAATAAAATAGTTGGATAAAAGAGTCACTCCCGAATACCTACTGTCTAACTGAAATTATAGTGCACAGATAAATGTCATGACAAAATAAATTCAAATTTAATGGAAATTGTAAATAACTGTTTTGAGGTAAAATAGATAAAATGGTTCTTCACATCCGATATATCATATCTTAGGTTCCGTTAACATCTTGGCGCAGTTCAGCTCGATCGAGTATTACGCATAGTGGTTGAAGACGTTGATCAAGTCAAAACATTGATTACACAACAGTCTCGTTTCCTGTTGACTGGGTTCCGTCCTATTGAGCAACATAGTACAATAACCAGTCCAGAAGTTTGAGACCAATTCATTCAACTGGATACATAAATATTAATCAGTATAATTTGATACATCTAAACACTTGTATATTGCAACACTACGCTCCTTCTAATCCTTACAAACACATCGTGCAGCGTGCTCTGTCGTACAGCGTGCTCTGACAGACGGAAATCTGGAAATCGTGGAAATCACAAAACGAGGCTCTGCCGCTAGAAAGGTTTGGCGGTCTGGTACGGACTTTGATATTATATCAATCACACTGTGCGTTACAAAACTACACTGAATAAGCGCAAATAACACAGGTGTAACCAGTGAGCCAGATGAATTGTGAATCTTTTTACGACCTCGACAAACAGGGACAATCTGTGACGTCTTAGTTGAGGTCATGCTGCCTACACCTCGCCATAAAATATAGAAATACGATGTTATTAAAGTTTAAAATTAAAATTAACTTGTAAATACCATTTTCTTATGAAACAAGGAATTGGAATTCAGTGTTACCATAGTTGTTTGTGGTGTCTCTTTTCACTTTCACACGAGAAAATTCGGATCGGCTGAAAAGTAGGTCATTGTCTGAATAGGATAATGAGACTCATATTTCGGTTTGATAATTACCAAACTTCCATATGGTTTTCTATGTCATCATTCGGCATCAGTCGCACTATACAGAAGCAGCTTCATACCTAACACAGTCGGAACTATGCCTAACACAAAACGTCATTATTCAAAATCCTATGTTGCTGATGGTTGGGAATATTGTAGATCTATACCTCCATACAAAACATCATGTGACAAGTCTGTGTCTGGGCATTAGGCTTTGCTTTTTACAAACAAACTTGTCAATCTCAGTGTGTAATACCTTGACACAAAAGTTTAACATTGATATGATACGTGTCCGCAGGGTGTTGAAGACGGGTCTTCATAAAACAAAACAAAACGATGTTTAAGATTTTAACAGAATCGA